CAAAATTAGAATTTTGTTTTCTTCGTTTTTCGCTTTTTTTATGTCGGTAATCAGACACGTCATCCATGTACCCTCCCGTCGACTCACAAACTCCCCCAAGTGACCCTCATGATCCTCGATTCTCCCCCAAGTGACCCTCATGACCCTCGACTCACCCCCAACTGACCCTCGTGACGCTTCACTCTTCCCTCAACTGACCCTCGTGATGCTTGACTCTCCCCTAAGCGCCCCNCTGACCCTCGTGACGCTTCACTCTTCTCTCAACTGACCCTCGTGATGCTTGACTCTCCCCTAAGCGCCCCTCAAGACCCTCGACTCTCCCCCAAGTGACCCTCATGACCCTCGACNGTTTTCTTCGTTTTTCGCTTTTTTTATGTCGGTAATCAGACACGTCATCCATGTACCCTCCCGTCGACTCACAAACTCCCCCAAGTGACCCTCATGATCCTCGATTCTCCCCCAAGTGACCCTCATGACCCTCGACTCACCCCCAACTGACCCTCGTGACGCTTCACTCTTCCCTCAACTGACCCTCGTGATGCTTGACTCTCCCCTAAGCGCCCCTCAAGACCCTCGACTCTCCCCCAAGTGACCCTCATGACCCTCGACTGTCCCCCAAGTGACTCTCATGACCCTTGATTCTCCCCCAACGAACCCTCGTGACCCTCGACTCACCCCCAAGTGACCCTCGTAACGCTTCACTCTTCCCTCAAGTGACCCTCATGACCCTCGACTCTCCCCCCAAGTGACCCTCATGACCCTCGACTCTCCCCCAAGTGACCCTCATGACCCTCGACTCACCTCAAGTAACCCTCGTGATGCTCCACTCTCCTCTCAAGTGACCCTCGTGACGCTTCACTCTCCCCTCAAGTGACCCTCGTGACACTTGACTCTCCCCCAAGTGACCCTCATGACCCTCGACTCTTTTTTTCTTTGTTTTTCGCTTTTTTTCTCATGTCGATAATAAGACACGTTATCCATCGATCCTCCCATCGACTCACAAACTCCCCATCTTTATCGCCGCGCATCCAAAATGATTTCCAAATGCCAAAAAAAAAATTAAAATTGGAATTATCATGTTTTTTTTTTGTTTTTCGCTTTTTTCTCATATTGCTAATCAGACACGTCATCCATCTATCCTCCTAACGACTCAGAAACTCCCCATCATTATCGCCGCGCATCCAAAATCATTTCCAAAAGCAAAAAAAGAAATTAAAATTGGAATTATCTTTTTTTTCTCTTTGTTTTTCGCTTTTTTTCATGTCCGCATCTACCCTCCCATCAACTCACAAGCTGCCCATCTTTATCTCCATGCGTTCAAAATCAATCCTAAAAACGAAAAAAGAAATAAAAATTGGAATTATTATTTTTTTTCTTTGTTTTTCTTTTTTTTTCATGTCGGTAATCAGACACGTTATCGATCGATCCTCCCATCTACTCACAGACTCCCCATCTTTATCGCCGCACGTCCAAAATCGTTTCCAAAAGCCAAAAAAGAAATCAATATAGGGATTATTATTTTGTTTTCTTCGTTTTTTTGTTTTTTTTTTATGTCAGTATTCAGACACGTCATCCATCTATCAATTCATCAACTCACGAACTCCCCATCTTTATCGCTGCGCTTCCAAAATCATTCCCAAAAGCCAAAAAGGAAATTAACGTTAAAATTATTTCTTTTTTCTTTGTTTTTCATTTTTTTCCATGTCGGTAACCAGAAGCGTTATCCATCTATCCTCCCATCAACTCACAAACTCCCCATTTTATCCCCACGCTACCAAAATTATTTCCAAAAGCCGAAGAAAAAATAAAAATTAGGGTTTCGTGTTTACCATTCCTGTTTTTGAAAATGATTCTGAAAATGATAGATGGGTGAGAGGCTTAATAAAGCACATGAAAAGGATTTCCTGACGAAAAACTAAAGAATATAATTTATTGCATAATTCCCTTTCTTCATCGAAAATGATTAGGGTCGCGAGGGACCCCAATTAATAGACCTAATCGTAGTCATGAGAAAAACCCAAAAATAAAGGAAAGAAAATTCTTCGGTTTCGTGATTTTATCTTTTTGCAAATTAATTCGCGGTGCTAATGGGCTGGAAGGGGTGTGGTGGCTACGTATCGATGTACTACATAAAAAAAACGCGTTTTTTTTACAAAAAATATGAACCCTTTAAAAAAATATTTTTCGGCCCTGGAATAAGTAGTAACAGAATGTTTAAAAATAAAAAGTCAGACAAAGTTAAGAAATGAAAAACCAAAAAAAAATGGTCTGATCGAAAAACCGAAGGGGAACTTTCGATCCCAAATTTCATCCTCTACAATACCTTCCGAGGAAAGTGATCGGTTGCGGGACACCCTATATGGGACATTCTATGCTATTTCGATAAAAAAAAATGCGTGTATTTTCTTCACCACAATTTGCTATATCGTAAAGGAGCCCGCGATAAGCCAATTTCTGAAAAAAAGTGAAAAACAAATTTTTTTGAAAAAGTTATGGCAAGTCAAAATTTTAAAGCTGTTAAGAATGCCTTTCGAAAAACATTTTTAATTTTGAGAAATATGCGTGTTAGAGGAAAAATAGATCAGTAATTTTTTGTCAGAAAAGAAAGTCTTTTTCATAAAAAAAATATCTGGTTGAAAAAAAGTCAATTTTTATGGTTTTTTTAACAACAAAGTTAGTTGTTTAACAAAAAGCATGTCCTCCCACTTCCAAAATTCTGAAAAAGTTATGATGTGGCACAACTCTCCTAGGACCTCCAGTTTTTCTTTGTAAGGTTCATCCCAGAAGTTATCGAGTTATAAATTTTTTTATAAACAAAAAAGTGTACTTTTCCCCGCAAATCGGTTCATAGCATTATTCTATAATTTAGCAGATATGCACGTCATGGAGGTGTGAGCATTGTTTTTTTCGGAGAAATGTTGCTTGATTGCGATTGAACAATTAACAATAGAAAATATAAATAAATTTTCACATTTTATTATGAATAATTTTTTTTCGAAAAAAAATTTGCGGTGTCACAATACATTTCTTTAAGAAAGTATTGGATTGAACAGATACATTTTCGAAAGTTTTCCATTTTTATTTATTTATTAATTAGGAGCAAACCTATAGATAGATTTGCTCCTCTAGCAAATCTGGCGACCTGTAGCAAACCTATAGGTTTATCATAGAGGATTTCAATAAGGTTGCCATGGGCGCTCGCCATAGGGTTGTTATGGAGGATTCCTATCGGGTCGCTTTTTATGAAAGATTTCTATAGGGTTGCCGTAGACGGCTTGCCTTAGGGTTTTTTTTTATGGGGGCTTGGCATAATCTTATGCCGAGTCCCCATAGCAATCCCCCATGACAACCGTACAAGCAACACTATGGCAATCCTCCATAAAAACTCTATAGCAATCCTATGACAATCCTCCATGGCAACCCTATGGCAATCCCCCATGCCAACCTTACAGGCAACGCTATGGCAATCTGCCATGGCAAACCTATGGTAATCCTCCATGAAAACTCTATAGGCAACCCTATTACAATGCCCCGTAAAAACCCCATGGTAACCTTATAGGCAATGTTATGACAGTCCCCTATGGCAAACCTATGGTAATCCCCTATGGTAACGCTATGGCGATCCTCCAAGATAACAGGCAATGGCAATCCCCCAGATCGCCGGCCATGGTAACAATCTATGGTACTGGCTGTGGCCAATACTCTATGGCAATTCCATGGCGACGGCCATGGCCAATGCTCCATGGCAACGCTATGGCAATGCCATGGCAAGCGGCTAAAAGACCATGGCAATGGCCATGAGATCGCCATTGCAATGCCATGGCAAACTCATGGCAATGGCCATGGACTTTTTTGTACGTAGTGCTGTATAACCGCAATGCCAAAATGACTCCGGTATACCGTTTCATCCCACTATTTTACGATAGGATCCAAAGTATCTTGATTTTCCATTTCACCTCATTGTCTAATTAACCCCAATATTCCATTTTACTCCAGTGCTCAATTTACTCCGATATCCCGCTTTACCTCAGCCTAATTCATCCCGATACCATGTTACCTCGTATACCATTTTACTCCACTGCTTAATTTAGCCCGATATTCCAGTATCTTGATTTGCCCCGCTGTCTAACTTATCCCGCTGTCCTATTTTATCTCGCTGCACAAGTCACTCGCAATTCTTCCTATTTTACCCCACTGCCTAATCTATCCACTGTCTGTTCAGTCCTCTATTATTCAGTCTGTTTCACACCATTGCCCATTTCATTCTCCTTTTCCCGATCCTCTCCCCTCCATTCTCGCAATCCCGTATTGCCCCATTGTTCGCCTCTCATTAATTGCCCACATAAACTCGACAAAAAAATCATCTTAACACGAGCAGCTGCACAGCTCAGAAGATACCGGGACATTTTGCGATCACTGCGAGTATGCAGCAGCGAGTCAAGTTAGTAAAAGGATGGGTGAGCGATTTGGAACATGGACGAGAAAGCATCTTGAGAACCAATGAACTGATCCGTTTTTTTCCCATTTTCGTCTCATAGAAATGATAATATTAGTACTTTTTTAATCTTTCAATGGCTGATTTATACAAGGTGAATTCAATTAATCAATATTTAATTTTAATTGGGACAGATCACGACACGATAATAACATGAAATCTTGTCGATATCCGACACTTTTCGACCCTGTATCGACTAGTTTGGCAAATGGCAAATGGTATGGAGTGGTAATTCTCTATAATTTGCCATCAAAATAAGAAAAACGAAAAATTGGTCAAATACAAGGTTTCCATTCGGAAGCAAAAGATTAATAATAATAGGCTCGAAATCCTACTTGTTTTGCGACGATTTATAAGAAAATTTTCCGAATTATGCACGCACATACGGATGTACACAGAGACTTTTACTAAAACCATTGTATCTCAACGTTTCATAACATTCAAAAAAACAAAAAATTCCCTGAGGTAGGTAATTTTTTTTTAATTGCATAATATTCATACTTACAAGGTTGAGCAGGATAAGGGGTAGCTTGAGTACTTCTCTTTGCGAAAACTGGCGGATGTTCGCCAAATGTAACAATCATTACTTGGATTAAACCAAGCAAGTCTGAAGAATGCTGAAAAGTTTGAAAAACTGAGATTCACAAAAATTTATTTGTTGATATTGATCATGACGAGTAAGTTGAAAAATTCTTACAGGCACCCAATCGTGTAAATAAGGAAGATAAATTTTCCCATTGTGATCCACATACATACTGACTTTGATTGTCATATCTGCTGTTGGTCTTACATAGCACATCGGTGCATTGTTTGGGTGTGTATCCATCAGCCAAATACAGATAGGAATGTTGTACACGGAACCTAAGATATTAAGACAACAGGATGGACGAAAAAAAAAAGAATAATTAAATGGACGAAATTAATGTTGAACTGATTCTGTACCTTTAAACATAACTGGTATTGTTCCCTGAAGATTGAACAGCTCTTGACACGATCCATCATTAAAAACAAAGCTCTCACTGTTACCATGCAAACTCTTATACTCCTTCATCACATTTAGAATCTCCCTTCTTGTGACTTCAGGATTCTGATACTTCAAGAGACATTGTTTCAGCTTCGCCTCATCCATATGATTCATTTTTACCATTTAACCTTACAGACGTTACAAATGAAGTTTCGAAGATTGATGAAATTTTATTGGTTGCTCACTGAATTTTCAACTTTTTGAGTTATCAGTTTTAATAAGTTTGGATCGCTCGCAATCGAAGAAGTGTAAGAATAGAACCACAGTTGAGTGAAATTTTAAAAATTAAACAATTCACTACAAATCATTTATGTGCAAGTGGTTTTCCTTGGGGACAATCGATACTGGCATTGAGCAATCAGAATTAGAATTAAAAATGACAAAATTGTTGTGATGGTTTATCAGAGATTATAGGGAAGATCAGCAGGGCCAATGTAAAGTGTTCAACAGCAAAATTCGTAGCGGTGGCGCATGGACTACGATGGAGCGTACGGAACTGTTGGTATGGTAGGGCCCGAGTATAAATTTATCGATAACGGGAAGTGGGTTCTCAATACAGTTGCTCCTCGCATTTTGTAATAATTGTCAGGAATGTAAAATCGAACATATTATAATCAATTGTATAATGAATGAAGAATCTAATGATCTAAAAGTCTTTTCCTTCTTCGTGTATTCACCTGAAACCCGGCTTGAATTTTTTTTTCTACGGAATTGTTGCTACTGCGAAATAACTATCTATTTTAAAGAAATCCTCCGATTCTACTCTCAGCGTTAGATCTTAATCCTTCAAATATTATTTCATCGCGTCTAATGTCTTAGTAAAAGAATAAAGTATTTCAAATTCTGTAGAAAAAGGTTTTTTTTTTAGTGACAATGCAACTCGAACTGCTATTGGAGAATTGAATAACTACACACACGAAAAAAAATTAATAATAGAAAAACCTAGTGCTTTCTCTGAAAAGTTCTATTGCACTTCTTCTGGAACTTTATCAGAATTCTATTGGAATTTTATTAAAATTCTATTAAAAAAGGGTTTTTCTTTTTCCCGCAATATTCAATCAAATATCATTCAACTTCCCCATGCGTTTTTAATAGATATTTGTTTACCGAAAAATAGCTATAGATGTTGATTTCTGTACATAATTTATTCTGATAGAATCTTCTCTATGAAAATTTTTGGGTATGGACTTTCTAAGTTTTTTTTCTCAGAAGTGATATCAGAAACTGATAAAGAATGAAAACAGCGGAAAATACATAAAAAATTTAGGCACAAGGACTTCTATCAACTATCTGTTAACAAAATGACATGATAAAGTTGCAGAAACTTCTATAGAAATGGCGCAATAAACAAATAGAATTTTCCAATAGAATTTCTTAGAGAAAACGGGGTTTTTCCATGAAATTATTTCATGCATGCATGCACTTTATCAGTCGATATATGAACTATCATGCGATAGAAAAAGACACTATCGGAAAAATAGAAGCTGGGATATTTTACAGAAAATTGTGGGTCTTACGCATGAATCAATTCAATATAAAAACACTAGGCCATTCCATTGAAATACTCTCTATATAATTTATTTGGCTTAAATTTTCTACGTTTTTTTTTTGTTTGTTTTGCTTGAAGGGAAAAAAGACAAATTGAATGAAGAAAAACTTTGAAAATTCGAGCCGAGAAAATTCTATAGAAAATTTTCTATTGAACATTTCGAACACCAACAACTTGTAGAAAGTTCTATAGAAATCCATTAGAGTTGTCTAGCGACATCGCTAGGTTNTTCTATTGAATTTTTTCATACATGCTAGTTGACCTACATGCGCAACTAATGGGGATCGAAGAATAAATGTGTAGTTTTAGGATTAAAAATGATAGCGCTATTAATTATGTACATATTACATATGTTTTACTACTGAGAGATTTTCGGAGTAAACATGAGAAAGACTCTCATGTTTCTGGGAGGATTTTCCATCGAAAAAGGGTTTTTGATGTATCCTCTCGGATGTCGGTGTTATTACTGAGACAATTACACTTAGAAAGAATCAAATTTACGAATTCCAAGTGGGATTACTGAGTTCCAGAAGCCGTGGCCTATGTAATTTTTGTTCTACATACTTCTTCAATTATTAACCCTAGACTGGTCACCATGCGAGGGAATTGCCGCAACACGCAAAATTGAATTTGTCAATTGAAGTATCTGGAAAATTCTAGTATTTTTTTTCAAAATTGTACCCTTAATTCTGGGAGAAAAAAAATTTTTTCCAACAGGTGAACAATTTTTTCCCGTGTTAAATGAAATTGCCTGTTGCGCGACGTTGCTGGGAACTCGCTAAATGCGCCCGGGAAGTGTAGAGTGGATTCGGCAACGCTGGAGCCTAAATAACACAGCGGCACTTTCCAGCGAAGGTGACTAAAGTCGCATTTTCCCGTCAGGTGACCAGACTAGAGTTAAAGAAAAAACCTCCGTAGATAAGAATTGAAGAACACTGGATTATTCCCAACATCTGAAAAGTTTCTCTCCACCAATAATTGCATTTTGGAAGATTTCGATTTATCTCAATAACGGGGGCTTTGGGAGAAAAAGAAGGGTTTTTTCCCCGAGTCCTTAAAATTTTTCGCGGAAAAAAATTCTTTCGTGATTTTTTTCTAGACATATTTATTATTTGACACGTACGTCAAAAAATTCATAGAAAATCCCGGCGCTGTCGCTGGAAAACTCTATAGTTTTTCAGTGATTCTATTGAATAATTGTGCAGATTTTCTTTTTTTTTCACTATAGTAATGTTCGATTATATATATTTATTCCCCCCCTGAGTGAGAAAGGAATATATATCGCGCTCGCTCCCATTCATTGTCGTCTCCGTCGCGTTGGCACGTGCCCGTCCTCCGCCAAACTTAACGAGTGCGAGTGAGAAAGAAAATGGAGAAGAAGGAGAGAGAAAACATTCCAACTCGTTTGAACGGTTGGAACGTTTTCGTTGTTCTCCAGCGATCTATACATAATGGGATTAATTCAATAATAATAGATTAATGAATAAAATTTTTCGCAGATTATTGCGAGATTTAGATGAATGGTTTGCCTTCTTCAGTGACCATAAAAAATTGTCTCCAATCGACAATATCTCCCGATGGAATGGATCAAGTATCAATTTGAATCTTTAAAAAATTAATTGAGAGTGAAAAAAAATCAGGGAATTCCACTCTGCCATTATGGAGTTATTGACGAGTGAAGTTTATTCACTGCACTCTGACATTTCTCTATTGTCTGTATTTACCGAGAAAAAAAGAACGTTGTTCCTAGGAATCGATCTGTCTTTTTTAGGCAGCTGCATTTCTGAAATGCAATGAGCAAGCAATGTTAAAATTAAGTCATTTTGTAAAAAATTTCCAGTGACATGATCCTGAAAATCAAAGGAAAGTCTTGAATTCAGGAATGATGTCTGTAGGTTTCAGTAATATTTTCGCGGAAATTCCGGGAACACTTATTGGGAATTTTTATCGCGTTGCCGTAATACGGAAATTTCAAGGAATTTCGTCATTGCAAATTAAAAATTTCTATAAATTTCAGTCCAATTATATGTGTACGTCCACGTGAAAAGGGCCCATTTTGTCGCATCTAATTTCCGAGATATTCATATTTTTCTCTCCACTCCATTTATCCCAATGTTAAATTGATTTTTTGATCTTCTATACAGACGTCACACGGAGAAAAATAAATCGGTAAAAGTCTTGCGATCGCAAGGAGTTTCCCGAAGATCTCCATTTTTCATGCACGAAGAACGATGAAGCTTTTTAGAATCTTCGGGAAATTCTATCCTATCCTACTCAAGTAGGAGCGGAGGAATGAATTTTGTACAGCGCGGAGTAACCCCGAACGGCTCTCCGGAGGGACTCCTCCGATTGGAAAATTCAGTTCTCCCCCCCTAATTACGATGAAAGAATGAAAGCAATATCTATCGATGGAGAATTATATTCTGAATAAATTACAGCGGTTTCATTGCTTAATCTCTATTAGGAGAGGAGGAATGAATTTTCAAAGCGTGCAGTAACTCCGGACAAGTTCTTATTCAAAAATGAATTTCTCCCCTCCATAATTGAGATGAAGGAATGAAACTAAAACCTACCGATCGAGAATTTTATTGTTAATGAATGACATCGGTTTCATTTCTTAATCTCAGGAGCGGAGAAATGAATTTTCAAAAGCGCGGCGTAACCCCGAACGGTTCTCCGGCGTCGAGTGAGCGTGGAGGGGCTCCCCGATTGGAAAATTCATTTCTCCCCCCCTAATTGAGAGAAAGGAATGAAACCAATGCCGATCGATCGAGAATTAAATTGAATTGAATTGAATCTCAAGTAGGAGCGGAGGAATGAATTTTCGAACGCGCGGAGTAACTCCCGAACGGCTCTCCGGCGAGTGGCGAGGGCTCCTCCGATTGGAAGATTCAGTTCCTCCCCCCTCCCTAATTAGTGAAAGGGAATGAAAGCAAATCTATCGATGAGAATTAATATTCTAATAAATACAGCGGTTTCATTGCTTAATCTCTATTAGAGAGAGGAGGAATGAATTTTCAACAGCGCAGTAACTCTGGACAAGTTCTTTCATTCGAAAAATTAATTTCTCCCCTCCTAATTGAGATGAAGGAATGAAACTAAAACCTACCGATCGAGAATTTATTTTAATAAATGCACATCGGTTTCATTTCTTAATCTCAGTGGAGCGAGAGGAATGAATTTTCAAAAGCGCGGCGTAACCCCGAACGGATTCTCTGGCGTCGAGTGAGCTCGGAGGGGCTCCCCGATTGGAAAATTCATTTCTCCCCCCCCCCCTAATTGTGATGAAGGAATGAAACTAAAGCTTACCGATCGAGAATTGTATTTTTAATAAATGACATCGGTTTCATTTCTTAATCTCTGTTAGAAGCGGAGGAATGAATTTTCAAAAGCGCGGAGAAACTCCGAACGGCTTTCCGACGTCGAGTGAGCTCGGAGGGACTCCTCCAATTGGAAAATTCATTTCTCCCACCCTAATTGAGATGAAGGATTGAAGCTGATGCCGATCGATGGAGAATTAAATTCTCAATAAATGACAACGGTTTCATCTCTTAATTTCAAGTAGGAGCGGAGGAATGAATTTTCATACAGCGCAGTAACTCTGGACAAGTTCTTCTCATTCAAAAATTAATTTCTCCCCTCCCTAATTGAGATGAAGTACTGAAACCAAAGCCTACCGATCGAGAATTGTATTGTTAATAAATAACATCGGTTTCATTTCTTACTCTCAGTTAGGAGCGGAGAAATGAATTTTTAAAAGCGCGGCGTAACCCCGAAAGTTTCTCCAGCGTCGAGTGAGCCTGGAGGGGCTTCCCTGAATGGAAGATTCATTTCTCCCCTTCTCCCCCT